GACATCTGTGCTCCTGGAAGCTCTGTGGTCTCTGGTGGCTGCGTTTCACTGCATCTCATGAAACAAGCCAGGTGGACAGAACCAGGTGTCATTCGTCTTTAGACATTAGAGCTGTGCGTGCGCCGTTTTTCCCATTGTGGTCAGTGAGGCCGAAGGAAGTGTGTCTACGTGAGCTTTGTGTGTGTGAATGCTGTAGACCCGATGAATATGCAAAGATTTTTTAGTTAATAATGAGAGATGTGACAAAAGTAAAAATGGAAGTAACTTCGTTTGTGCCCGGTCATCTGAATGTTTACATCCCACGGATTATTCTCCTTCTGTCTCCCGTCTGCCCTTCCATTTGACCATGATCTTGTCATCTTAGTCACTAAGTGTTAGTGGATAAATCCTTGAAATGTTCATTTTATATACTACGAATATTTTGAATATTCCCTACCTTTGTATTTCTCTTTTCTTACATCTCATATTTTGGAACTGTCCACTTGATCATCATCATCATAATTTCCTGACCATCTTTGTACTGTTTCATTGCCTGAGGAGCAGTTAAAGGGAGTGATGTTTCCAGTAACGCGAGTGGCACAAACGGGAGTTAAAAAACAAAAAACAAAAAAAACTCACTGCACTGAGTCGATTCTGACTCATAGTGACCCCCTTTGGGTTTCTGAGGTGGTAAATCTTTACAGAAGTAGACTGACCAGTATTCTTCCGTAGAGTGGATGGTGGGTTTGAACCTCCAACCTTCTGGTTCCAGACCAAACCCACTGCCATTGAGCTGATTCTGACGCATAGCGACCCCCACTAGGTTTCTGAGGTGGTAAATCATTATGGAAGTAGATTGTCCCGTCTCCCTTTTGTGGAGTGGCTGGTGGGTTTGAACTGCCAGCCTTCTGGTTAGCAGTGAAATGCCTTAGGCACTGCACTACCAGAGCTCCTTAACCTTGTAGTTAGCAGTTAGTATTTTTTATTTTTTGCTTTTAAAGAGAACTGGTGGACACAAAGCTGTTCAATTTTATTTCACATTATATACTATATCTTGTGATCTGATTTGTTTGATTTTCATTTTATCTTAAATTCATAATGTGGTTTTTCAGATACACCTTGTTAAAAATACTATGTAAAGTCTTGTATTCTTTAAATGTATATAAGGATCCATGTTCTGTATTGAATCTTGCTATTAATAAGATAGTTCGGTTTTTTTTTTAAGGGGTTCCTTAAATTTTGGAGGCTTTAAGAGTTGCTTGCAGCAGTGGTTCTGGATAGTGAGGCTCGTCTGATTGTTTAAGGCGACCGTTTATTGAGCCTGTTCTGTCCCCCATTCCCTGGTTTGTTCTCTACCTTGCTTACCATACGTGTCCCCAGGTAATTCCCCCAGTAGCCAGGTGTTCCTAGTTTACAGGCCAGGAAACACCTGAGAGAGGCTGGTGGCGTCTGGAGGGAATTCTCGGTCCTCTGGCACTGAACCCTTGCTGGCCTTTGGATGAGTTTTAAATGAAAGGTACTTTAAAAACATATCCGTGAACACTTTGCTTCCCACATCCCAGGGGCTGCACTGATGCCCCCTGCGTATAGGAGGGTCCCTGTGCGGAGTGGGTGGCTTTATACTGGAGAGCGGGAAGCTGTGTGGGCATCAGCTGGACTTACAGTGGGATACGCTTAAAATGGTTGAGGTTTTTATCCTCATTGTTAATTTAGAAAAATGAAAGGGTGTTTTGTATTTACACAACTTGGATCTTTTTTTAACGTGTGGATGATTGTTAGTATAGCTAAGTATGTGCCCACTTAGCATCATGTTCATTTTTTAAGTTCCCTCTCTCCAGCATTGTTGGGTAGCATATTTTAGGACTTCTCTCCAGTATTTAAGTT